CTACTATGTATAACATACTTTTTCCAATGGTTCAACCCTCCTGTCTTCTGTTGTGTATTTAGCTTGAGTAGCTGATGGAGAAGAGATACAGTGTATGGGCAAGAGAGAAGGAATTTGTCTAGACCCCAGGAAAGCAAAGCATATGCCCCCTTTTATGTCACTAAATAGCAAAAATAGGGAATATGCAAAGTAAAGCTACACGAAGATGCCAATGCATACCCATTTTGTTGGTAGGTGCCATTGAGTTTATTCCAACTCATAGCAGCCCTGTGTACAATAGAACAAAATACTGCTTCTTTTTTTTTGTCCTGCACCATCCTTACAAACATTGCTATGCTTGAGCCCGTTGTTTCAATCTATCTTGTTGAAAGTTTTCCCTTTTTTCACCTACACTCTACCAAGCATGATGTCCTTCAATAACTGGTCTCCCCCTGGTAACATATCCAAAGTACATGAGATGAAGTCTCATCATCCTTGTTTCTAAGAGCAGTTTTCCAAGACAGATTTGTTTATTCTTCTGGCAGTCCATGGTATTTTCAATATTGTTTGCCAACACTACATACCTACCATTGTGCTGTCCAGACTCATAGCAACCCTCTATAGGGTTTCCAAGAAGTGGCTTGTGGGTTTGAACTGCTAACCTTATGGATAACAGTCCAGTACTGATCCCACAGTGCCACACCAGGACTCACTATGTCCACTGTTGTTAAGTGGCATCAAGCTGGTTACGATTCATAGTGATCCTGTATAGGGCCTTTGAGTAGTGGCTGGTGGGTTTGAACTGCTGACCTTGTGGTTAGCAGTCCAGTGCTTATCCTACAGCACCACACCAGGACTCCACATATCCACTTGTTGTTGTTAGGTGCCATCAAGTCGGTACCAACTCATAGCAACCCTATGCACAACAGAATGAAACACTGCTTGGTCCTGGGCCAATCTCACAATCCACTAGCATAACTAAAATAAAAGAGATTAATAATACTAAGTATTATTACCTGGTGTGGTGCTGTAGGATAAGCACTGGACTGCTAACTGCAAGGTCGGTAATTCAAACCCATCAGCCTTTCCTTGGGAACTATACTGGGTTGCTATGAGTTAGAAACGACTTGACTGCGCTTAACAACAACAATAATACCAAGTGTTAATGAAGATGTGGAGAAATTGGAAATCTGCATTGCTGATGAAAATGTAAACTGTTAACAGTCATTTAGAGAAAAGATTTGGCAAGCTTTCCCCTCCCTCCCCCACTTGTGTTGAGTGAAGGTTTACAAAGCAAAGCAAATCAGTTTTACATTCCACAAATTCTCCCTTTCATTTAATGTCAATGATTACAATCCCCTTATTGTAATATAATTTATCTCACTTCTTCCCTGTGTTTCTCATTTACATTCTTCCTTCTCTCTCAACCCTTCTGAATTTTGTCCTTGGGCAAATGCTGCCCATTTGATCTCAAATGATGGCCATTCTATGGCATGTGCCCCTCACTAGTATTGTACCTATTGCTTGGCTAAAAATTATTTGGCAGTCTCTTTAAAGGATAAACACTCATCTACCAAATGGCACAGCTATTCTCAGATTAGCTAAGAGAAATGAAAACATATGTCCCCACAAAGACTTTTACACAAATTTCCATTAGCAGCTTTATTCATCAAAGCCAATTACTTGAAATAGCCTAAATATTCATCAATAGATAAACAAAATGTTGTATATCCACACAGTGAAATAACATTGTATAACCATAAATGAAAAGGAATCAACTACTAATACAAATAACATGAATAAGTATATAAAAAATTGTTTAAAGAGTATGTTGAGTGAAAGAAGCAAGACACAATTATATAATATGTGATTTCATCTATATAAAATGCAAACCAATCTTTTTGGTTGTTATTGTTATTATTAGCATTTATTTGAATATGTGGTATGAATATAAAGTCAGGAGATCAATTTTTAACAAATCTATATTTGTTATTTGTGTTGTTGTTAGGTGCCATTGAGTCAGTTCCTATTCTTAACTACCTTACATATAGTTTCCAAGGAGCAACTGGTGGACTTGAACTGCTGACCTTGCAGTTAGCAGTCCAATTCCACACCAGGACCTCAAAGTTTCATAATACAAAAAAAAAACCTGAGACTATTTTTCAAAATAAACTCTCTGTGAACCCATGTAGAATGTATGGCACATAAACCCATTGTCGTCGAGTTGATTCTGATTCCCAATAACTAAGGCAGTAATCTTTACAGAAGAGTACTGTGACACCCTTTTCCTGAGGAATGCCTGGTGGGTTTGAACCACCAGCCTTTCTGTTTGCAGCCAGGTGAATAACTACTGCACACCCAGGGACCCTTGTATATTGTTGTTGTTAGGTGCTGTTAAGTTGATTCTGACTCATAGTGACCCTATGCATAACAGAACAAAACATTGCCCAGTACTGCAACATCCTCATAATTCCTGTTATGTGTGAACCTGTAGATGCAGCCTCTGTGTCATTGCAAACCAATCTTTAGTTAAAAAACAACAACACGAGGACTCCTGGTGTGACGCTGTAGGTTCAACACTGGATTGAGAACCACAAGGTCAGCAATTCAAACCCACTAACTGCTCCTCGGAAACCCTATACAGGGTTGCTATGAGTCGAAACCAACTCAGTGACACTTAAGAGGAGTCCTAGTATGGCACTGTAGAATAAGCACTGGATTGCTAACCGAAAGGTCTGTTGTTCGAACCCACCAGCTGCTCCTTGGAAATTCTACAAAGGGTCGCTATGAGAATGACTCTATGGCACTTAACAACAGCAACAACAGGACTGGGGCATAAGGAAATTTTGGGATGATGGTATGTGTGTGAATATAGAGAGAAGAAATATGTATGTATATAGAGTATGTAGAGATAGGTATGTGCATGTGTGTATATTAATAGATAAAGCAGAACTAGTAAAATATTATCAATTGTTGACTCTAGATGGAGAGTATATTGGATAATCACTGCACTATTTCAGCTTTTCTGTATGTTTGAAATTTCTCATAATTAAAAGTTAGGAACAATTTTTAAAAATTAAATTGTAAGAAATATTTGGATAGAGATGATTTTCAAATAAAACTTTTGAAAGATAGGAATTCAAGAGAACAGTAAAGTGAGCCCATTGTAACCATCTTCTAGCATCAACCGTCTTCACCTCCTGATCAGTCTTGTTTTATTGGTACCCTCATCCACTTAGTCCTTCTCCTAGATTTTGTGTGAGACAAATGCAAAGGTCATATATTTCATCCACTAATATTTCAGTGTATAGCCTTAAAACATAAGGCCTCTTTCTAAAAATCATAACATGATACCATTATCACATCTAAAACAATTGATAGTAATTTGTTAATATAATCAAATACCAAGGAAGGTTTCAGGTTTTCTTGAATGTCTTGTAAATGTTTTGATTTTTTAATAGCAGTTGGCTTGTTTTATCAGATTTCAAGTAAGATCTATATATTGCATTTGGTCAATATGCGACTTAACTCTTTTAATCCCTGTCTTTTGCTCTCTCTCTCTTTTGAAATCAGATCTAATCTGTAGAGTTTCTCACAATCTGGATTTTGCTGATTGCACCCCCAACATGCATTGTAACATATTTCCCTGTGCCCTGTATTTGGCATAGTGGTATTCAGACCTAAAGGCTTCAACATATACCCATGGGTTTATGATCATCATGAAGCACATCATTTATGGCTGTTTCCCTTTTTATTATTTAGTGGTCATTGATGACCCTTGCCTACATTCATTATTTTACACTTATTTTTTCTTTAAAGAGTTAGAAAGCAAATCTTTTCAGCTTTGAGGGCCATATGTGTATGATCTCTGTTACAGCTATTCAACTTCATTGTTGGAATATGAAAACAGCCATAGACAATGAACAGAAAAAAATAAGTGTGCCTGTGTTCCAATAAAATTTTATTTATCAAAACACACAGTGAACTAGATTTGGTCTATGGGCTGTGGTTTGCAGACCCCTGCTTTATCTTAATATTTATGAAAAGTTTAGAAAACAAATAGTAATACAGACAATACGATGAGTAAAACAGTTTAAGATTTCTTTATGTTCCTCTCTGGTAATGTCACCAGCTCCATAGATAAGATCATTTGTTTCAGCATTTTATGTTTTAGATGTTTTTTCCTTCATTTTATTTTATAGTTTTGAGAAAATTATAGATCAAATGTATAAAAAATCAAGTACATAAAACAACATAATTTGAAGAAATCTAGCTTTTGTCTTTGTTTCTCTACACTATCTCCTCCTGTTCTTGATCAGAATACATGGGCGTCCTACTTGCAGGCAACCATTAAAATTTTTTTTAATGATTTGATACTTCTATTTAAAAAAAGTAAGGACTCCTGGTATGGTGCTGTAGGATAAGCACTGGAATGTAAGCCACAAGGTCAGCGGTTCAAACTCCTCAGAAACCCTGTACAGGGTTGCTACAAGTCAGAATCAGCTCGATGGCACTAAACAACAACATTTTAAAAAATATGGGCAAATCTCTTTCTATATATATATGCATGTTTTAAACCTCTTTTCTGAAATAAGTGAAAATACGCAATACACTTTTCCATCTTTGTTTATTCAGGTAACAGTATATCGTTGATTTCCCTATACTCATGTGTAGATATATTCTGCTCAGAGTACTCATTGTGTTGACACATCAGAGTTTATTCAGCCAGTTTTCTGTTGATAAACATTTGAATTGTGTCCAGTTAAGTGAAGATGATCCTTTTTTTGAGGGAATGCAGGAAGAGGTTTTATATATAACTTTTTATTGTCATGTGAGTGAAAGTGTACAGAGCAAATTAGTTTTCCATTCAACAATCCATACACATTTTGTTTCGTGACACTGATTGCCAGGTCATCTTGTAAATCAGAGACAACAAAATCTAATAGGCAAATGCCTATGCAAACTACCAAATTGTAAGAAATGGCAATTTATAGCTTTTATAATGCTTTTTCAATTTACAGGAGGAGGAAAAATAATGCAATGACTCCAGATTTCAGCCGACAGTCACATGATAAGAAAAATAAATTACAAGACAGATCTAAGCTGAGAAAAGCTCAGTCACTGGTAAGTACTACTTAGAAAAGATTCACCACCCTCAAGTTAATGAATGGAGTCTTGGTGTGGAGCTGTGGTTTAATGCACTGGACTGCAAAGTCGGTTTGAACCACAAGATCGGCGGTTCAAGTTCACCAGCCGCTCCTCAGAAACCCTATATAGGGTCCCTATGGTTCGGAATCGACTCAACGGCACTTCACAAGAAGTTAATGAAAATCACTCCATCTCTAATCCTATTTGTGAAATTGAATTTGTTTTTCTTTTCATCACAGTGTTTGGTCTTTGACACTGACTGCTATGTGACCTTGAAATGATCTTTTAAAAAAAGAAAAGGAAAGAAAAAGACTGGTTGAAATGGTGTGTATGAAACTGCTTTGGAACTATAAATGAACATATAATATAAAGGCAGCATTATTCTCATTAGTTCTGCAATGATTCCTTCGGGGGAGGTGGCATTCCTTCCAGAAATTGCTTATCTATAGAGTGCAGATTCCAGTGACCTAGAGTGGAAGGTAATGCTTTTGAGAGCTCTCTTGCTGCCAGTGAAGCATGACTATAAAAGTACATTTAGAATAACTTCTGAAAAATTAATTAAGAACTTTTCTTTCTCTAATTAAAAAACAGCTCATTGTCCACCAATAAAGTCAATAACTGTAGCTAGGGAGTATTATCATTTCACAGCACAGTTTCCCAGATTGTAGTTCAGTACCCCAGTGGATCCCTTCCAGCACATATGAAAGTGTTTGGAGCAAAGTAGAAGGGAATAAGACTGGAATAAAGAGTTTGTAACAGTAATAAGGATTTTTGGGGGGGGGGGGACGGGGATTGAAGCTATATATGCAACAAAAATTAATATAAAATGACTGTCAGTTGGCAGAGGAATGAGTATGTCCTCAAGAATAAATCACTTTTATTACTCTGCTTTAAAGCTCTATTACTTTCTGTTTAAATTATTTTCAAGTGTTATGTTCTGAAAAAAAAAAAGATATGGGCTTCTTAAAAGTAGGGCAGTCTGTATTCTGGGGGACCAATTTGTTGGGCTGGATGAAGCTTATCAAAGGCGAGTGTACGGTTGCACAGGGAATGAGACGGCTTAGAGCAAAGCAGTAAAATTGTCAGTAAAACCATTAATTGAGAAAAATAGCTTTATGAGGCTTATCACACAAGCTATTATAGTAAGCTTCTGCCTGGTTTCCTCACCCCAGCTAGGTTAAGAGCAGAAGTGAAATCCAGAGGAGAACAGGGATTTTAAAGTGCAATAAAAGTTGATGATGATGTATGCTTATAAATAATCAGCACCGCCAAAAATTTCTCCTGCTTTAAAAAAAAAAAAAATTGAAGGCTAAACAGAAACCATCCCTGTGGGCTTTTGACATTAACCATCTGTCACACACAAACAGGGTTTAAGTTGAAATATTCATTATAAATTAAAAAGTTAAAAAGTTGTACCAATTAAGAGAATAAAGAGAAACCCGGGTAAATTAAACAATGATAATGAATAGCTAGCTATTAATAAAATGAAGTAGCTGATTGTATCTAGCTGCTTGTATTGCTTTTGTAAATATACTAATTGTAATCACTATTTATGCTTAGTCATTTTGATAAAAAGCATAAGGCATAATTAAATCCTCCAAGAGTATGCTGTTTTCTTTGAACTGGTAATAGGACCTATGATAAAGTCTGGCTGTTTGAACCACAGGACTTTGTTGACTAAGGTCCCTTTCCACATGGTGGCAGTTAGCCCTCACTGTTGGCTACAACCTCAGAGGAAATAAGCAGCCTCCTGAGTAATGCAAGAATTTTATGAAAATTAAGAAATGTTTGAATGTAGTGTCTAAGAGAAGAGGAAATGGATATTGAGGAAATTTAATTAGAGTGTATAAAAGGGAGCCTGGCTAGCTCAGTCTGTAGAATATGAGACTCTTAATCTGAGGTCCGTGGGTTCATACCTCACATTGGATCTGTGCTTAGGAGTTCTGGTGTGTTACTATTTTTTAAAAGAAACAGACATTTTGCTATGGTTTGGGTGAACATTTACAGAGCAAATTAGTTTCTCATTCAACAATTCATACACATTTTGTTTTGACAGTAGTTACAATCCCCTCAATGTAATAGAACTTTTCCTACTTCCTCCCTGGACTCCCGGTTTTCCATTCTCCCATCTTTCCTGCACCTTTCTGCCTTCTGAACTTTGCTTTTGTCTCTAATGGCTAAAGGGTTAACTTGAGTGTTGGGGAAACTAATATACAACAAGAAGGAGGTTGACAAAAGAATGAAGACAGATGACACAGGGAAGAATACAAGGGTTAGAGGGGATAGAGGTAAATACTGTTATATACAAACCCTGCAACAACAATGTTCTACAGGCAGATACATGAGTAGATACGTAGGCTGAATGAGTATGGGAAGGAGAGTGAAAATAAACCCACAAAGGTTTGACAGAGGATGTTTGTACATGCTACTTACCTTTGGTGCCAATATAGACATAAATGTAGTGGAACATGTTGTTGTTAAGTACCTTTGAATCAGTTCTAACTCAGCAACCCTATATAGGATTTCCAAGGCATGGTTGGTGGCTTTGAACTGTCAACTTTGTGGTTACCAGTTCAGTGCTTATCCAACAACACCACAACAGGACTCAATGGTGTAGCCTACAGGGGGTAAAATTATAAAAACTTCTTGGATATTACCAAACACCTGAAGCAATGAGTAGCTGGGCCTGGGGACTCAGAAACATATAGATTCTGGGGACCCCATAGTCAGTTGGCATAACATAGTCCACAAAGACAGTGTTCTATATCCTACTTTGGTGAGTAGTGACTCATGAGCGGCCATGTAAGGTACAAATATTGGTCTTTCCATTTGTGGAAATAAGAGTGATGAAAATTGAAGATGCTTCGAGTCAGTTAGTCCAGTGGACTAATGAAATACATGAACTTTAGTCTCTATAACTCTGAGACCAGAAGAACTAGATGGTATCTGACTAACCACTACCAGCTGCTCTGAAAGGTCCCAGATAGAGCAAGAAACAATGTGGGACAAAACTCAAAATTATATATGTATAAAATGACTGGGTTTACTGGATAGAAAGAGACTGGAGGAACCTGAGACTATGGCCCTTGACCACCCTTTAGATCTGGAATGGAACTCACCCTTGTGGCCCAATTTTCAACCAAGCTCTGAATAGGTATGTAAGGGGGCAGTAAACTAGTGAGGTGTGCTCACTGTGGAATGGTCAGTCATTCAAGATCAAAATGGCAGCATTTACCTGGGAGCAAGGTTCAGAAGAGTTGGGAAGGAGGGTGGAATGGAAACAGGAATCAAATGAAGGAAGTAGGATAACTGTTGTTACATACAGGGGATTTCAGTCATTGAGATGAAACCAGTATATGATTTGTTGGATGTAAAACTGACGATTTACTCTGTAAACCTCATTCAATTCACAATAAAGTTTCAGTGGGGCAAAAATATCTAATCTAAAAAAAAGTGAAGAGGCAAGTAACCAACTTGGAGAATCTTTGGAAACCATATATCCAACAAGAATCTAATAACAAAAATATATGCAAAAGCACTCTAGGTTAGCAACAAAAGGACAAATAACCCAACCTTAAAATGGGCCTAATTTCACCAAAGAGGACATTCAAATGGCCACCAAACACATGAAAAGATGCCATCAGAGAAATGCAAATCAAAACCACAATGAGATACCGTTTGACTCCCACTAGGATGGCTAAGGGAGCACAGTGGCTCTGGAGGATAAGCACTGGACTGTGAACCACAAAGTTGGTGGTTTGAGCCCATCAGCTAGTCTGCAGGAGAAAGATGAGGTTTTTTGTTCCTGCAAAGATTTACAGCCCTGGAAACCCTATATAATATGACTGTGAGTCAGAACCACTGACTCAATGGCACTTAAAAACAATAAGAAAATTAAGATGACTACGATTAAAAAACAATAATAACAAATGTTAGAGAAGATGTGAGGAAATTGGAACCCGTATCTATTGCTAGCGGTATTACAACCATTGTGGAAAATAGTGTGATGGTTCCTCAAATAAAAACTAGAACTTCCATGTTATTGTTGTTGTTGTTAGTACTGTTGAGTCGGTTCCAACTCAGAGCAACCCTGTATAAGGTTTCCAAGGAGTGGCTGGAAGGTTTGCACCGCTGATCTTGTGGCTAGCAGCTCAGTGCTTATCCTACAGTGCTACACCAGGACTCCAGAACTATCTACCATATAACCTAACAATTCCACTTCTAGATATTCAAGGGATGCCAAAACATATTGCTATAAAATCAGATACCTTTATTAAACAAAAATATCAAAATGTGATACTATTGTTTCCTGACATATCTTCCATCTAGGCCTATATACTTCTGAAGGCAGTGTTTCCATCTCTCTAACCCGCCCCCAGAGAATTCTGCACTCTTTGATGTACATACACCACCTTAAACGACAGTTTTTGGTTTCTTCAGTGAACTCAAATCATATTCCTTTTAAATGTTCTTTGAATTTTGTGAACAAAAAGAAGTCTGGACTTTTCCGGTCCCTGGCACACCGGGAGCTGCGGGCATTGCCCGAAAATGGCACAGAAATGGTATCAAGAAACCCTGATCACAACGATATGAGTCTCTCAAGGTGGTGGACCCTAAGTTTCTGAGGAACATGCGCTTTGTCAAGAAGCACAACAAGAAGGGCCTGAAGAAGATGCAGGCCAACAACACCAAGGCCATGGATGCACGTGCCGAGGCTGTCAAGGCTCTCATAAAGCCCAAGGAGATCAAGCCTAAGATCCCAAGGGGTGTCAACCGCAAGCTCAGTCAACTGGCCTACATTGCCCATCCCAAGCAAGGGAAACGTGCTCGGGCACGTATTGCCAAGGGTCTGAGGCTCTGTTGGCCAAAGTCCAAGGCTAGTGCTAAAACTAAGGCTGAAGCTTCAACCAAGGGCTCAACTAAAGCTCCAGTCAAGGCCTCAGCTAAAGCACCAGCCAAGGCCTCAACTCAAGCCCCAGC